GAGCTGGCAGTCAGCACAGAGCCCGATGCGGGGCTCGAACCCACGAACCGCGAGATCATGACCTAAGCGAAAGTCGGACGCTTAACCGACTAAGCCCCCCAGGTGCCCCATATTACGTCTCCTTTGGAAACGTGTCTATTCAGGCTCCTTGTCCGTTTTTAAAATTGGATTACTTGGGGTGCCTGGGGGGCTCAGTCGGTTAAGCGTCCAACTTTGGCTCAGGTCATGATCTTGCGGTTTGTGGATTCGAGCCCCGCATCAGGTTCTGTGCTGACAGCTCAGAGCCTGGATCCTGCTTCAGATTCTGTCTCCCTCTCTTTCAGCCTCTCCCTCACTTGTGCTCCGTCTCTGTCCCAAAAATAAATAAACTATTAAAAAATTTTTAATTGGATTACTTGTTTGTGCTTTTTGTGCATTTCAGTTACAGAAGTTCCTTACTTACTTTGAATATTAACCCCTTATCAGATCTATGGTTTGCAAATATCTTCTCCCATTCCATAATTGCCTTTCATTTTGTTGATGGTTTCCAGGGCTGTGCAGAAGTTTTTAGTCTCAAGTAACCTCACGTGTTTTTTGTTTTTTTTTTTTTGCTTGTGCAGCAGTCTAGGACCCAGTGATCTGTTGTTCGTGGTAAGTACCAGACACTGCACTACTGTGGGCATGACAGGGTGTAGTCTGCCCCCAAATATAAATGGAGGCCATCTCCCAATGCTTTAAGGACAGACATTCATGCAGGTGGATAGAAATCGACCCAGAAACACGACTATGGAAAGAGGGAGAAAGATGCATTTTTCTAAGAGCAGCAACTTTTAGAAAGCATGTGAAATAGGGGCGCCTGGGGGGCTCAGTCAGTTAAGCGTCCGACTTCTGCTCAGGTCACAATCTCATGGTTCGTGGGTTGGAGCCCTGCATCGGGGTCTGTGCTGACAGCTCAGAGCCTGGAGCCTGCTTCAGGTTTTGTGTCTCCCTCTCCCTCACCCCCTCCCCCGCTCATGCTCTGTCTCTGTCTCAAAAAGAAATAAACAGAAAAAAAAAAAAAAAAAGAAAGTACATGAAATAAACAACCTCATGTCCATCTGGGACAAATACTGCAAAACACGTGTTTCTCCCGGTGAAGATAAACTCTATTTGATTTGCATCACCTTTCCATGAAAAAGTGGTTCCCATCAGCACTCCGTGATTATGACCTTGCAGATACACTTTATTTGGCAGTGAAATTTCTTTAAAAATGAAAGTTGATGGTGGGAGAGGGTATGAAACAGAAGGTGGGCTACGTGTGAGCAGATACTTATCAAGGAGGAAAAATGTCACCATGTTAAAGCCGTAATACAAGCCTACTGTTTTGCTTCCCCTCAATCTAGACGTTCATCCCAGAGAAGCTGGTTTGCCCTTTCCTTCTCAGGGGTCAGTTACACATCCTTGTGTATCTAACCATCCTGGTAAGACAGCCAGGCAGAAAGGACAGCAAGACGTCTAACCGTTTTCAAGGGAGGTTCTGGGAGAGAAGCACACATCCTGCTTTCTTTCTGGGAGGTGGAGAGATGTGACAGTTTCTGATACTACGGTGGCAGGGAGACCTGGTGGGGTGCATGGCTCTAGCCCCCCGAGTCTGGGCAGCTGACATCACTGTGGTCCCCGCGGGCTCTCTCTCTGGACTGTCCTATCTCTGATGGTCTGACAGGACTGTGGTCACCGGGACTGGGTATTCCAAGGCATTACAGTCATCGGAGAGGAACACCAAATCCTGAAAAAGATGGGCAATGAGCAAGAATGTTACCGAATGTGGCCCCAGAGCTCATGCACGACAATACAGCTGTTTCCTTTTGTGTGAACACTTCCCCTCCCTTATTCTGCGGAGGAGAACTGGCCACACCTTCATGCTTCCAAAGAACGTGCTGTAATACTGCATTATAAATATAAATAATACTGCATTATAATCACATCTTCTTCCTGTCTCCTACCCTGCCCAGACCAAGGGGAGAGGGGAATGAGGTTGGAAATGGGTGTGGGTAGGAAATTCATGGCACATCTTTGATGCCTGAACAAATAAATTAAACCGAAGAGCTAATTATTGATGCTGAGACCCTACTCCGGGTCCAGGCCCGGTGTTAAGAATTCTATGCGTGATCACTCTGCCTTAGGATCAATGGACTTACTACAGAGCCCCCCCACCCATGGTCAGGGAATAATTATTATTATTATCCTTCCAATGATGGCGTGAGGTGGGCAAAATTGTGTCTCTGGTTCACAAATGAGGAACGTGTGGCTCAGAGCAGGGACGAGTCGCTCCCGTCCGGGAAGCAGGAGTACAGACCCGAGCTCAGGTGTGTCTGAGGTGGAAGCCTGTGCCATTCGGGGGTCACATGGCTCTGCTTTCTACATCTTCAGTAGTGGGGCTGGTTTTCTGCATTTTTCTGCCTCCTTCCCCTCTCCCGCCAGGAGCCTCCTATCAGAGCATCTGAAGCTCCTCTTCTGGAAAGTCTCCTCTGACCCCAGTGCTCAGAGCTCCCCAAATTCATAGCCTTCTCTCCCCACCCCTGCCCCATCTGGCTCCTGGCAGAGTCTGTCTCATACGGTCAGCATGTGGCCCTGGACGTTGTCCCCACACCAATATGAGCTCACGGAGGGGACGGCCTTGTCCTGAGTGCCCATCCCTTACCAAGGGTGACGATGGTTGAGGAAGGGCTTTGTGAGCTGGAAGCACCGCATAAACGTTCCTCCTCCCCCTCCTCCTCATCTCCGGAGCACCTCGTCCCCCGCCCTCCCCTTCTAGAAGCCCTGGGCTGAGCGTCGTGGCTGATCACAAGCAGGCACGGGATTTTCAGCAGTGTCACTTACCCTCCTGCAGAAGGAGTTCATGATGGTGTACAGCTTCCGCACTTTGTCCTTCAAGGCATCCACCCGGGCCACTTTCCAGCACTGGGGCGACGCCACAAAGTCCCGCAGCTTGGCCAGCACGCAGTAGTTCTGGCAGCGGACGGCAGGGATGGCGTCACGGAGGAGGCAGCAGCCAGAGGGACAGGCGTTGGGGGCTCCTGCGCCCTTCCGCACAGGCTCTCTCCCCACCCCAAGCCTCCCCCAGGCAAGGAGACCCTCTTACATGTATATCCAGGTACAGCCCCGGCAGGTACCTCACACACGCCTCCTGCAGGAAGGGATGCGGGTTACCATGACGCCCACGGGAATACACCATCTGCGGTCACAGACGGCTCCCTGCCCCGCTCCAACAGCCAGACAACCCCGCACACACCTTCCTTGATCTGATTTTACACACACACACACACACACACACGGGCTTAAATACCTACGCATGGTCAGAAAGCTGACACACTATCCACCAGAATGTTACAGCAGTAGTTACGGCTATGGGGTAGAATGGCAAGTAAACTTTATTTTCTTCTTTGTCTTTTGTGAATTTCCAACTGTGTATTAAGCACGGCAGCCCCCTCCCCTTATATGTGGGGATATATTCCAAGACCCCAGTGGGTGCACAAAACCGTAAATAGTACTGAACCCTGTAGATCGTATTTTTTTCCGATACCTAAGTATGAGCCCAGATAAAGTTTAATGTATAAATTAGGCTCAGGAAGAGATTAACAATTACTACTAACGAAAGAACAATGATAACAGCAACATTCTATAATAGTAGCAGTTATGTGAATGCAGCCTCTCTCTCAAAGTTCCTTATTGTGCTGCACTCTCCCTTCTTGAGATGATGTGAGATGATAAAATGCCCACCTGATAAGATGAATGAGGGAGGCATGTGACATAGGGTTAGGTTACTACTGAGCCTGTGACCACAGATCAGAAGGGGGCTTTGGGGCCACAGCTGACCGCGGTTGACTGCGGATAAGGAGGGGTCTACTATACATGCCTTTTATAATTAGGAAAAAATACACATTATTTAAGTTCTAAAATAAAATAAAATAAAATAATAAAATAAAATAAAATAAAATAAAAGGTGTTAAGGTATCATAACCCCATATCTGAGAAACGCTACATTTTGTTTGAAGTGTTTACACTGGCTGGAGGCGCTCTATATTTTTTCAAAGCTTTTAATGAAGTTTAATTTGTTTCTATCATGGACAAGCAGTCAGGGGGCCCAGGCTCTAACTCTGGAACCTCCCAAGCCCACCGGGCCCTGGGTCGGCCTGTTAAAACATAAGTGAACAACAGCGCTAAGGTTCAGAGGCCACCAACCCGCGTAGCACTCTGCAAGCCTGTGTCATTCACGCCTTTACCCTTCAGGCAGCACCCGAAGCGGGTGGTGAGCTCCCTACCACCCCTTCCACAGCCGAGCACACTGAGATTCAGGGGCCGAGCACTTTGCCCCGGGTCCTGCAGTGGTGGGGGGCACTGATCTGGGGGGTCACCCCCTTAGCGCGCGCTCATGATCGTCAGGCTCCAGGAGGAGAATGACGCTTAATTCTGTGTTCCTCCTGAACTCCCCAGCTCTGGGCTCCCTGGGGAGCTTTCAGCTTATTTTACAAACATCCTCTGATGGTTGCTGGCAACTTACAAAGACATTGCGGTGTCTGATGGATTGTCCTTCTATTAAAGAAAAAAAAAAAGACACAAACCATTGTTATCATACTTAGTAGGATGGGAATAAATGCAAACCCTTGAGATAAACATTGACCAGAAAGGAAAAATTGTGTGTGTGTGTGTGTGTGTGTGCGTGTGTGTGTGCGTGTGTGTGTTTTCCCGGCCCAAAGGCCCGGTTCTGCAGGCCTAGGTCTGCAGGCGCCTCCCGGTGGGCGCGGGCAGGTGGGAGGGGACTCACCCAGGGCTCCACGGCCTGCAGGCGCTGGAAGTCACCGCTCACCTCCCGGCTCAGGCTCAGCACCCTGGAGTAGCAGGTCGGGGGCGCGGGCTGCGCCGCGGGGGGCCCGGCCAGGAGCAGCAGCAGCAGCAGCAGCGCGAGCCGCCCGGGCGTCATGGTGCAACGGCAGCCTCACCGCGTCCCTGCGGCCGCTGGGCGCCCCTTTAAGCGGCGGCTCGAGGGTGGTCCTCCACGCCTCCTCCGTTTCCTGCGGGCCCCAGCCAAGGCCACTGAGCACGCCCACCTGGCCCTGGACACTGGATCCTTTCAGACCTGAAGCCCCCACCCCCTCCCCACAGCCTGGGCCGTGGGGGGCACCTGGGAAGGATGGGGGAGGGGGGCCCTTCTTCCCACACTTTCTCCTCTGGCAGGGGCTCTCCTGAAAAGGCAGGACGGCTTGATGGGGGGCGGGGGCAGGAAGACAAGCATGGATGAGGTGGGGTTTCGCTCCGGGTGGGGGCTGGGCAGTCAGGCTCTGCAGTAAGGATGGGGACCCTGTGGTGAAACCAGGGCGAACCGGGAGGGGGAGGGGCCGGGGGTGATGGATTGAGCACCAGCCCCGCAAGGGCCCGGGGTCTACGTGTCCACCCACCGCTGACCCCGCAGAGGAAGCCTGGGCAGCCACTTTCCCTGGGGGCGGCTGTGTCTCTGCATCTGGGCTGATGCCAGTGCCCGCTGTTGGGGGGATGTGTGAGCGCCCCCAAGCTGGGGAGCGCTTCAAGCCCCTGGCTCAGGCCCGCATACAGAGCAGACCCTCAGGAAGGGCGGTTTCTCGAATGTGCAGCGGCTCCGAGGCTCTACAGGGGGTGGTCCTGTACAGAGAAGCGGGTCAGGATAAGCTCTCCCCTCAGACGCTCCGTGCGGCACAGGCTTACCCACTTCCCGTGATGCCCTCTGGCAGGTTTCTTGGCTCTTTCCTCCCTCTCAGCCTATGTGAAACGGGGATGGCACCTAGCTCAGAGGCCCACGGTGAGGCGTAAAGGACCCTGAGCTCCCGTCACTGGCCGAGCTAATGTCACTTCTCCATGCACACAAGTGTCCTTGGAGGGAGGGGGTCAGAGAGAACAGTCCCATTTTCCAGGTGGGAGAATCGAGGCTCAGAGGATTCTAGCAACTTGCCCAAGGTCCCAAAGCTGGAAGCAAATGGGTCCAGACAGGACTTTGTGCCCCTTCCTCCTGTGAGAAGCGAGGCCCTTGTCTGAGATGACTTGGGGCCCTCGGGCTGCCCAAGCAGGACTAAAGAACGTGGTCAGAGAGAGGAGGGTACTTACCTGACACCGAGCATCAGGGCGCACCGCTTCTGGGCCCGCTGCTACCCCGGGCTGTTGTCACAAATGCCCTGAGCCCCACCCGAAAGTCCATCAAGCCAGTGGGGTCATTCCCATTTCCCAGACAAGAAACAGGTCTCAGGGGACATGAAAGTGGTTGAGGTCACAAGGCTCATGAGGAACAGATATCTGGGCCTGTGTCTGTCTGTCTCCACGGGCTCTCTGGCTACAATGGAGGCTGGAAAGGAGTGCGGGGTCTGGCCCCAGCCTCCCCTGCTGCGTCTGCCCCGAGGAATTCCATCCTGACCCGGTACCCACGTGTGCCCTGTCTGTAAACAGAGAAGCGTCACCCAAGTCCCCTCCTGGCCTGATGTTTTATTTATCTGGTTTTCTGGTGTTACAGCTCTGGGCTGGGATCTGGCCAGGCCTTCCTGTTTTGCAGGTGAGACTGGATTCTCTCAACACTTTTATCGAGATGACCTGGGGACAGTCTCTTGGGCACCCTCCCGGGACAGGGCGAGACTGTGTGTGTTTGGAGCCAGGCAGGCAGCAAACAGAGATGTGGTTTTCTCCTGGATGAAGGAGTCCCTCACTCCGCGCCTGGAGTGCCTAGGGCGTGGGCCTCCTTGGCAGACTAGCGGGCCCAGCCTGGGACGCCAGGTCTGCTTTGAAATGCTCCAGGGCTTCTGGATGGCTCCATCGTACGAGCTTCGGATTCAGGACAGAGAAGAAAAACATGCCTAGACACCAAAAACAAGTTCTTGGACCATTCACATTGAGAGGATGGTGCCGGAAAACAGGAGTCATCAGTGCGTTGGAAGTCCAGATAAACCTGTCTCTGGGAGATCCGGCCTTGCCTCACTTGGGACACGGTGAGTGGTGGTTGATGGGCTTCTTGAGCAAATCAGGCGGCTCCAGACCCTGAGCTACATGGACCTCATCTGCCTCCTTTACAGATCTTCCTTCTTCTCATCTGTCACATCCGTCAGCCCCCCGCAGCCCGCAGAGCAGAACAGCCACGCGAGGAAAGCTTTGCCGAGTTACCCTGGTGGTGGTTCAGCCCGTTACTGAGTCAGAGAAAAGCCTGGTGGGAACACAGAGGGCGCAGGCGAGTCTGCTCCACCTGGCTGCCAGGCACCCCCCCCCCCACCGCCCTGCGGGTGAGTGGGCCTGGGGACCCCACGCGTGTGCTCTGTTCACCAAGTCCTTGGCCCCTCTTGGTTCTGCGGTCCCGACCCCCCTTCCTCCATGGCTCCCTCAGCATCAGCCTGCTCGGTCTGAAGGGTGGACGTTAAAAATACAGGTGAAAATGCCCCCCTCCCCACATCAAAATCTGTCTTCCTCCAAAGGCGTCTCCCCCCCCTTAGTGCCTTATGCGGAGCAAGGGCCCATCTTGGCACCCCGTTAGGCCAGGAGATCGGAAGAGCCAGAGCTGATGAGCAGGTGACTCTTTCTCTGCAGATACTAGTCATTTTCTTTGAATGGACTCTTCCTTGATTCACTGGACACGCGTTATTTAATGAGAGCCCGGGGCCTGGGGTGGACAGGGATTAAACAGCAGGTGATGGAGAAGGAATTGCTGTCCTCACAGAGGAGGGAAGGAGGGCCATTAAGCCACCGCAGTGCACGGCGTGGTTGTGAGAGGGCGGCCCCCAGGTCTGGCCTTCAGGGGGCTTCATCTGCCCCCCGGAATGCTGTGGGGAAGGGGGGGCGGGGTCGAGCGCAAGCAGGAGAGAGAACTTGGAAGGTGCTGTACGCTGGCTTTGAAGACGGAGGAAGGGTCCACAGCCAAGCAACACAGGAAGCCTGTAGAAGCTGGGAAAGATGAGGAAAAAGACTGTTCCCTAGACCTTCCAGAAAGGGACACAGCCCTGCGGAGACCTTGATTTTAGCCTAGGGAGACCCAGGAGGGGGGACTTCTGACCTCCAGATCCGTGAGAGACCGCTAGTGTTGTTCGAAGCCACTCCGTTTGTGGTGATTTGTTAGGGCAGGAGGAGGAAACGACTTCACCATCTCTCCGGAGTTGAGAAGAATAGCAGCAATTCAGGTTGGAGGAACTTAGAAGTGGCCTCCATCAACCTGCCTGCTGCCTGCGCTTCCTTCACTGCCTTCCTGTCAAGTGCGTCTCCAGAGTCTGCTTGCATACCTCCCGGGATGGGGAGCTCATTGCCTGTTGGGACCACTCTCCAGGCTCTGGGCAGCTCTGGCTGATGCAAATTCTCCCCGAGGTGAGGGTGAGTTGTGATGGCTCCTTAATGCTGCCATCCTTGGCTTAAAACTGCTTTACCTTCTCCTTCAAAACAGCCCTGCACTGACCCTAAGTCCGCCCCTGTTCCTTTGTCTCTGCCCAGGCACTCATCCCTGCCCCTCCAGACAGAGTTCACTCTCTTTCAGAGCAAACATTTCTAATTTCTTGAACCCTTTCCCACGGAAGCGGCTTCCAGATCTTTTCCCACAATTGCGTCATGATTAATGTCTTCCTGCCCGGAGTAGAATTTCTCTCTTGCCAGCCCGTTTCTAGTTCAAGACCGTCTGAGGTCCCCGGCCATTTCTGCCAGACTTTTCCTGGTGATGATGGTGGTGGCGATGACGATTACTAACTCTGGATGACTGCTGCCTTGCTCCGAGGCCAGGGCAGATGTCAGCGCATGTCTTTTACCATCATCATCCGAGGGCACCGAGGCCCAGAGAAGCTCAGTGACTTGCTCCAGGTCACACAGTGTTAGCAGTCATGAGGGTTTGTAGTCAGCATAGCCAAGTGTCCTTTAACTTTCAAATATGCCGTTCCCTCTTCTTGGAACACTGTTCCCTCACTTAGTGTCCTGGGTCTGCTACTTCTCACCCTTCCAGGCAGAGCTGAAATGCCGCTTTCTCCAGGAAGCCTGCCTTGACCCACGGAGGTTGGACTGGGTCCCCTCTGCCTGACAAACCCCCACAGGCCCATCACTCTCCCCTGCTGTGCCACGGTACTGTCCACTATGGCTGCTGTCTGTCTGCTTACCCACCCCCCATGGGCAGAGCAAGTGTCCACTCTGTCTGTGTCCACAGCATGGGGCCCAGGGCCAACACAGAGCACGTGTTCGGTAAATATCTGCCTCTGAGGGGAGGTGGACACCCCTGATTCACCCTGGTGTGTGCCAGTGGGTTTCATACTATCTGGGACCCAGACTGGAACAGCCCTTCTTGAGAAGTTGGCTCAAAATGAGGCTGTCACCTCCTCATTTTGGGTCCCTCTTGGGTCAGTTAGGATGGTAGGTTGCAAGTTACAGAAAACACAGCTTGAGATGCCGAAGGCTGAATTTCAGGAAAGTGTACCTAGAAAGTGCAACGGTAGTATGGAGCTCAGGGATGGCTTGATCTAGGGACTCAATGACGTTATGAAGAAATCACCTTTTCCTGTCTCCCTATTCCATGCTCTGATGGTCTTCTGATGGGTCAACTCTCCGAGGCTACAGTTCCGAGTTATTCAGTCAAACACAAATGCAGGTGTTATTGTGAAGGTATTTGTGGACATGATTAAAGTCCATAATCAGTCGACTTTTAAAAAAATGTTTTTACTTTATTTTTGAGAGAGAGAGACAGCGTGAGCAGGGGAGGAGCAGAGAGAGAGAGAGGGAGACACAGAATCTGAAACAGGCTCCAGGCTCTGAGCTGGGTGTCAGCACAGAGCCCGACGCGGGGCTCAGACTCCCAAACTGTGAGATCACGACCTGAGCCGAAGTCGGATGCTTAACCAACTGAGCCACCCAGGCACCCCCAGAATCAGTCAACTTTAAAGAAGGGAGATCATCTAAGATATTCTGGGTGGGTCTGATTCAATCATTTGAAAGATATTCAGAGTAGAACGGATGATGAAGAAATACTTTCCTGAAGTAGAACAAATCCTGCCTGTGGAGAGCCCCAGCCCATCCTGTGAGTTCTACTTTGCCTTTCCTGACCGCCTGCCCTACTTTCTTGGATTTTCTTGTCTGGCCTCCACAAGTGTGTCCTCCAATCCTTTATAGTGAATTCCTTACAAAATCTTTGTTCTGCTTCTTTCTTTTTTTTTTTTA